GTTATATTTTCTAGTCTATTTGTATAGATGTATTAGTTATATTTCAGTCCATCGTAAAGAAGATGTATAGTTATATTTTCAGTCCATTCGTAAAGTAAGATGTATGTTATATTTTCAGTCCATTTGTATAGAAGATGTATTAGTTATATTTTCAGTCCACTCGTAAAGAAGACGTATTAGTTATATTTTCAGTCCATTCGTAAAGAAGACGTATTAGTTATATTTTCAGTCCATTCGTATAGAAGATGTATTGGTTATATTTTCAGTCCATTCGTATAGAAGATGTATCAGTTATATTTTCAGTCCATTTGTATAGAAGATGTATTAATTATATTTTCAGTCCATTCGTATAGAAGATGTATTAATTATATTTTCAGTCCGTTCGTATAGAAGGTGTATTAGTTATATTTTCAGTCCATTCGTATAGAAGATGTATTAATTATATTTTCAGTCCGTTCGTATAGAAGATGTATTAGTTATATTTTCAGTGCACAAGTGAAACTTTTGACTATCTTTTAATTTCTTAGGATAACATATTCTATTAACTGTAGATCATAGATATGTGGTGATTGTATTAACTAGAGTATCTAAATCTCCTAATTAAACATTCATAGTAAGACAAAGAGCAACGTGGCTATGTTTATTTTAAATTATTCATTATTTAGTTTATTTTACATTAAAAAATGTCATTTAGCATACATTATGGTAAAATGTCCTGTTTAGCTAAGTCCAAGTAAGGAAATCACTAACAGCCAAACTACATGCGTTTGCAAATTTTAGACACGAGTTATTCTTGACATGGAAGTTATCACATTCAATATCTTAATTTGTGTATACTTTTCAAATGTTATATTAGTAAGTTCCAGTTCTTTTATTTATATTTTATTATAATTAAGGCATTACAACCAGTGTCTTGGCATATTTCAGCATTTAGTTGGTACATCAAAAACAGTTGTAATCTGTTGTTTGTGTTCCAAACATTTGTGGTATTGAAGTTACCAGTTAAGGTATGGTATTAATACTTAGTTTTTGTTATAACTATGGTATCAATACTTAGTATTTGTTTATAACTATGGTATTAATACTTAGTTGTTTGTATATAACTGCATTATTAATACTTATTTTTGTTTATAACTATGGTATTAATACTTAGTTTTTTTATAACTGTGGTATTAATACTTAGTTTTTGCTTATAACTAGGAATTGAGCTTGATAGTGCAGATGAATCTCTTAGTCCAGATGATGATACAGATGAAATGATGGAAGATGACATCAGTAAACTTCATCCTAGCCTGTTGTTATACAGGTACAAAATATTTATGCATCATTTGTTAATTCATTTCACTAGATATAACTAATTACATTTACAAAACTTTTGTTAACTTAACAAGGTATTCTACTGATTAAACAGAAAACCCTTTTTCTCATTAAATGTCCTTTAATATCAGGATTACTTTTTGTGTGTGTATTTGAAAACATTGTCTGTTGCAGATTTTTTCAAATATTTAAGGGTATTAAGACTGTATATTTCATTGTTAAAATTTCTTTTAGAAACCATTTATCCAAGAAATAAGTTTTAAAAATATGTAACAATAGAGGTGTTCATCAAAAGGAATTTAAAATTACATTTAAAATATGACTGTAGTTGTGTTGATACTTAGTTTTGCCCTAAGAGTGAAGTTTGTTGTAATCATGAATAATATATTGTATTATCAAAAGCTTTGTATGGATATTAAAATTTTGATCTGAAAATATGTATTTATGAGTTCTTGTTTTTTTTTTAAGTATTTTTTATTGCATTATTAATGTTCTATTTTACTACTGTAAGGAGTTTGAACTGATGATGTATTGTGTGATGCAATAGTGAAAGTTTTGTTTTTGTACATCCTTATGGATAGTTTAAAGTGTCTTGTGGTGATAAAACTTTCAACCAAAACATGTAATATTGCTTTGAAATCCAGTTTTAATATTCCTAAGATTGTATCATAATTATAAAATATTCAGATACTTATTTTGTTAGAAGTGTTTCATACAATACATTTTCCACTGCTTTTTAATAATTGTTTTGAAATGTATACATGTAGCTGGTATTTGTACTTAAATGTTGAAAGTATGGTGACGTACATCTTTACAATGTAGTGAGAGTTTCCATTTTGAAGATGTACTTTCATTTTTGTTTAAACATTTGCTTTATGGTTCAGTAATGTTGATTGACTTAAAATGAATAGAATTATATATATATGCACTATCAGCACTTGTGTTTAAAATTTTTAAAATGTTATGTGTAACAGATTGAATAGAATAATATATATGCACTACTGGCACTTGTGTTTAAAATTTTTAAAATGTTATGTGTAACAGATTGAATATAATAATATATATATGCACTACTGGCACTTGTGTTTAAAATTTTTAAAATGTTATGTGTAACAGATTGAATAGAATGATATATATGCACTACCGGCACTTGTGTTTAAAATTTTTTAATTCTAATAAATAATTAAAAACAACATTTTATATTTACACAAGAAAAACTTTATTGAAGCCGTACGGGTTCCACATTAAAAT